ATGTCTCCATAGATGTGAATTCAAACATGAAGGATGTGCAGCAAATAGCAGAGGGTCTCTTTTTTCCCAATGGTAAATCCAAACATCTAGATCTGAAAAGTTTGGACTGTGAGATTCGAGATTTCGCCCACAGAATAATTGAATCAGAATGTACCGTTGGAGATTTGTATGAAGCAAGTAAGGTTAAAATTCTCAGACTTTATCTGTTCACAAAGTGCATCAATACACAGCAGATTACAGAAAACTCTGTCACAAATCTTGAAGCTCATGTCATGTTGAATGAAAATGCCCAAGATGACAGCCAAGCATCTAGCAGCACTAGCATCAACAAATCTCAAACAATTGACCTCACATTTTCAGAAGACTCTGAAGAGACCAGTTTCATGTTACATGATCCACTTAATATTATTGCCCAGGAAACATCAGTCATACAGATTGATAATCAAATGGAAGTAGAAAACAGAGAGAACCGTTTCCAAGAACAAATGATAGCACTGAGTCAGGAAAGTGATTTAACTGCAGAAAATGTGAACACATTGCAAGTATGGAGACCAGAGCCATTCAACACCAATTCGACTTCACAAGATGTAGAAGAACAACTGATCTCACCTGATGTGGAAGAGACACCATTTGAGGAATCGTTTGATAATGAGGTCACAATTGGAGGGGCTTCACGTGAGTTTGGAAGCTTGGATGATACAGTTCCAATTGAGGATGTTCCAAAGTCTATTATTTTGGTGCGAAGAGGACAAGTTCTGTGTGATCTGATGCAAGCTTTCAATGACCCAGCAATAATGGACAAAGAGATCAGTATTCGAATGAAACTACCTAATGGGCAGATTGAACAAGGCATTGGATCAGGTGTTTTTTGTGACTCCTTGACAGAATTCTGGAATGAATTCTATTCCAGATGTGCTTTGGGTGCAGATGTAAAAGTCCCATTCCTCAGACATGAATTTCAGAGTAATGAATGGCAAGCTATTGCAAGAGTATTGGTCAAAGGATGGGAAGCAGTCAAGTACTTTCCTGTTCGTCTTTCCCAGCCATTTCTTGAAGAAGCTTTATATGGTACCACATATAGCAGTGTCCTAGGTTCATTTAAACACTACATAGCAAAACATGAGCGAGATGTCATTGAAGAGGCAATGGCAAACTTCAACTCAGCTGATCATGTCTCACTTCTTCATGTTCTTGATTCCAATGATTGTCACCAGCGGCCTACTGAAGAAAATCTACCTCAACTGTTGGAACAGTTAGGTCACAAAGCTCTCATTCAAACCCCTATGTTTGTGATCGAATCCTGGAGACCTGTTCTTAAGGATATTGCTAGTATTTTGCCACCACAAAAGCTAGCAAACATAATACAAGAGTTAAAAACCAACACCTAAGCGTGTGAAGGACATCCTTGTTTTCCCTGAAGTCATGACAGCCCAGTAGAGCTGCGTATCAAGATTCCTGAAAAAGTACATTATGGAATTGGACGACAACACCTTATTGTGGAGCACATCTACCTTCTTACTCTTCTGCACAGGGGCAGATTTGCTCTTTGGGAACAAAATCACAGTGAATTTCATTGAAACAAGTGACTTTGAATGTCGCCCACAAGCTCACACATGTGCTTGCTATCTGATGTTACCTTTAAACTACCAGAACTACCCAGACCTCCACAGTGACTTCAATGCTGTTCTTAACAGTTCAGTTTGGGTGATGGATGTTCTATAATTTTTGTACTGGTGAGTACTGAAATAAATAATAGTACATATTTTCATGTACAAATGCAGCAAATTTATCAGTTTTCCACCCTGTTATACAAAGTTGATGAGTTACATCATGATTTTCATGAAGCATTGCTTCTATTTGTTCAGTATCAACTAATATTAATAAAAAAATACATATTAATTTGTATAATTATATATGCAAATAATTTATTGTTTACA